TGGAATCCTACCAGAGGATATGAAGGAAAGAGAGTCAATCCGACGAAGGGCACCAAGATTCTACTATAATACGGAGAATCGAACGCTATACCGCAGGGGGTACGATGGATTGCTGGCACGCTGCTTATCGACTAAAGAAGCTGAGGAAGTCCTTAGAGAAGCACATGAAGGAGAGACCTGGGGAATGGATATCGTCGGTCCTATAAATCCCCCGTCAGTCAAAGATGATCGGTTCATCCTGGCGATTACCGACTACTTCTCCAAGTGGGCTGAAGCGGTTCCTCTTAGAGAAGTCAAAACGAGCAACGTTATTGCATTCATCAAGCACCATATCATGTACCGGCATGGTGTCCCGAGACGAATCATACATGACAACGGTCCCCAATTCGTCAGCAACGCCTTCATCAGGTTTTGCGAAAAGTTTAAAATTCAGGACATCTCTTCGACAGCTTACAATCCCACAGCGAATGGACTGGCTGAAGCCTTCAATAAGACTATCATAAAGATTTTATCAAAACTCATGAAAACTAATAAACGAGACTGGGATGATAAGCTTGGCGCAGCTCTATGGGCATATCGTACCACGGTGCGCACACCGATGGGAGTAACCCCATATTCACTGGTATACGGATGTGAAGCCGTTCTTCCGTTGGAGATTCAAATCCCATCACTTCGAATTGCCCTCGCAACTCAAATGACGACCGAAGAGCAACATCAGAAGCGCCTTGAAGAACTTGAAAGGCTGGATGAGAAGCGTTTAGAAGCTCAACAACATATCGAATTCTACCAAGCCAGAATCTCCCGAGCTTTCGACAAAAAGGTTCGACAACGGAGTTTCAAAGAAGGGGATTTGGTTCTAGCTGAAAGGCGGCCTATGATCCTTAACTCCAAGAAGAAGGGCAAATTCGAATCCAAATGGGAGGGACCATTCGTAGTGGAGACAGTTTACTCGAGTGGCGCATATCGCCTAGTCACCAAGGACGGCGACCGGCTGATGATGCCAATAAACGACAAGTTCCTGAAAAAATACTATCCTTAGTATCTTCAGGATAAATAATGTATCGGGAAGTTCCCGAAAGAATACTACATGTGGCATTCTTAGGGATAACCCAGTCATTGTAGAAGCGATGAATAAGAAATCCCCGTTCGAATTCTGAATGTCGGAATATTTCTTCTTATTGTCAAATTCTCTAACTCTCATGAGTTTTTTTTTTTTGTGAGATGAGATTCAATCCTCTGATAGGTTAATCTTTCCTCACCAAACCATCCGCTGATCAAACTAATTGACGGTGGATTCACCAAAATTTCTCTCCGCCAATCATTAGCAATTCTCAGACTCAACATGTTAGGTCCTAATCACCTAGCGTTAAAGTCTTCCTTTGAGTGATAATACGAGTTGGCACTTTCTTTGCTACCTGTATTCCACTTTCTTTGCTTTCAGGTCAAACCTATAAAAGTTAGGGCCAAAGCCAAATTCCTCTCTCGATTCCTTCCATGAACGAGAGGTCCACTTTCAATTTGAACAATCAAACCTATAAAAGTTAGGATTGTTCCCGATCTCACTTAGTCAAACCTACAAATAGTTAGGACTAAGACCGAGTCGTTCTTTTTTGATAAACGAAAATCCACTTTTGCTCCTTTTCCACCAAACATTTAAAAGTTAGGGTCGAAATTGGGCTTTCTCCTCAATGAATGAGGGATTCTTTTGATTCAAATGACCAATCCTATAAAAGTTAGGGTCGTTCAAACCTTTCTGATTCTCGGAGTGGAGATCCCACTCTTAGTTTCATCTTTTCGGATTCTGGGGGTGGAGATCCCACCTTGAGTTTCCTTTCCGACTGTAGATAGAATATAAAATTCTTCCTCTTCAGTCCCGGGAGATAGAATATAAAATTCATCCTCTCCCGTTTCCCAATCCGTCTTTATTCTGATAAAGGACACAATTTTCAATTTCTAATCCGGGTACTTTGTGCACGGGGAATTTTATCTCAACTCCTAAATAGAGATAAGTCTACGCCTAACACGCGTCGCCGGTTTAGTCTTTCACCGATTGAAAAAGACACCAAGGTCTAAACTTAGGGAATTTTATCCCGAAGCCTAAGTAGGGATGAGTCAACGCCTAACACGCGTTGCCGATTTAGTCTTTCACCGATTGAATCATAGCACAAAGTCTTAGAGAATTCACTCTCTTAGCACAACGTTACATGCGGAACGGATTTAGACAATCTGCATGCTAGCCCGATTCAAACTGTAATCGGTAAAGGCACATCAAACCCGTTGAAGGCTGGGGGTTTGCCAAAAATCCCAAAGTCTATGTCTAACACGTATTGCCGGTTTAGTCTTTTGCCGATTGAAAAAGACACCAGGGTCTAAACCTGGGGAATTTTATCCCGAAGCCTAAGAAGGGATGAGTCATCGCCTAATACGCGGTGCAGGGTACCTTTTCCCTATAAGAAATGGCTAAGTCTATGTATTCAAAATCATAGCATCAAGCCTAAGAAAAGCAATTCTCTTAGCACAACGTTACATGTGAGGCGGGTTTTAATAATTCACATGCTAATCCGATTCAAACGGTAATCGGTAAAGACATATCAAACCCGTTGATGGCTGGGGGTTTGCCAAAAATCCTGTAAATCTTATCATCGCTGAGTTCAAAATAAATAAAGAAATACCATAAAGGAATCAAATGCGGAGTCTCTATTAATAGATCAAGTCAAAGCATACAATAAAAAGCTCGTTAGCCCGAAGGCAGCTGACGGCTAAGAACATGAGACTCTAAACTAGAAAGCCTATCTATATAACTCTGCTCAAGTTCTGCCTGCAGGCCAGCTCAGACGGATTCCTCAGAACTGCTCAAGATCTTCACGGCTTCATCCTTCAGTTTTATCAATCTCTCCTGTGTAGATCCTAGCTTCTCGAGGGCCTGTCCACGAGAATGCTCTACTCCAGCCAGGTCTTCTGCAATGATAGTAATGGACTCCTCAGCGTGCTTCAAGGCCTCCTTCAACCTAGCCACTTCCTCGTGGCCGGAATCCAAAGAACGGAGTAGCTCGGCTCTATCTGTATCCCTCCTCGCCACGGTAGCCATCAGCTGCGCAACTGAATGCTCATGTGACTGAAGCTCACTGCCGATGGAAGATCTCAGGTCGCGCCACTGTGCCAGCCTATGTTCCATCTGAGAGGACACGAAGGAAGAAGCTCCATTAGCCTTCAATTCCTTCAACTCTCGGATCTCCGACTCCAGAGCAGCAAAATCGGCAATGAAAGAATCAGCTAACCCCGGATACCCTTCTTCTATAAACATCATCATGTGACGAGAAAAGGAACGCCTGAACTGATCAAAACAATATCCTCGATGAAGCAGTTTCTCGATCATGCCGTTAAAAAAGGCGGTAAAAAAGCTGAGGTCGTACGGAAATGTCCTCTGTACCAAGGATCGTAATCCGCCAAAGAGGCGCGAAATCTCCATATAGAATGATCGAGATCCTACAAGCAGCAGTGTGGAAAGGAAAGAGATTATCGAATACGATAAGAAAATTTAAAGGCAAATTCCGAGCATACCGATGCCAACGGAGGTCCCCTCAGGCTGAGATCCGACAGGTTCCGAAATAACTGCAGGAGTAGTCATGGAGGGTATATCAACCCCTGTAGGCAAATCGGTCATACCTCTCGGCTGTGGCGGGGAGACACCGCTCTCAGGCAAACTATCAGTCCCAGAAACTGTAGTGGCATCAGGCACAACGGCTGGTCCTATAGTTACACTTCTTTATTAGTCAAAATGAAAATTTAGACAAATAAGGAAAATCGGGATGATGAGATCGTATGCATACCTGCAAGTCCATCGTCCTCAGATGCAAGAGGAATGCCAGGAGTCATAAGAGTATCAGTCCCGATGGCTGGTCCTATGATTACACCCATCTATTAGTCAAAAATCAGACAAATGAAAAGGAACACGACATCCTAGATCGTGTGCATACCTGCAAGTCCGTCACTCTGAGGTAAGCTAGATACGCCGGGAATCAATATTGGGCTAGTCCCAATGACCGGTACTGCAATATTAATCCTTTGTTAGTCAGACAAAAGACCAGGCAGAATGAAGAGAATCAGACATATACCTGTGAATGTATCACCCTCAAAGGGTGGTCCCACGGTTCCTTTGGTAGCCTGTTCGGCCAGCATGTCGACCAATAATCCAACATCGGGTCCCGAGAAATTTGATGCAGAGACATACTCCTGTTTCTCGAGACCTACATCATGAAAAGCCTCATCCTCAACGAGCCTCTCTGATGCGACATCTGCAGAATAATTTAAGTGTTGGATATATATACAAGAAGATGGGAAAGAAGGAAAAGCTCAGAAGTACCTGCAGCAGGAACAGAAGATCCTTGTTCCCCAATATCCATGCTTGAGTTCTTCAGGAAATCTGAAAGAATGCGAGGCACAAAAAATAATGAATCCTGATTTCTCTAACTCCGCCAAATGCTACTCGATGAGGGTATCATCGGATTTAGATATACCTGGACATAGAGTGGTGGGCTTGACACTATTAGCCTGCTCGGTGTCAATGTTCGTATCAATACCCAGGGAACCATCCCGAATGGCGTCGCACATTTGCTGCATGAAGTTATCCATATTATCAGAATCAGGGAATACGGGGTCCGGTGGAAGCTCGCCCTCGTCATAGTACCCTGGAACATAAAACATGATTACGAATCCCAGAAGGTAAACCCCTCAACCTTCAAACCACGACTCGGATTCCCAACATATAGTTGGTCATAGCCGAACTGACGAGCAAAACGGCAGGGAAGGTAAGGCTCTATGTGGCAATGATTCTTCATCCGGAGAACGAGATACCCAACACGGATGTTCACCAACCAGCAAAAACAACCAACGTCGAGAACAGTCCGATTACTTCTGGGTTTCTCCTCATCAATCAGCACATCACCATAGCGACCCGAAAAGTGAGGAAAACACTTGAAGAACTCCCAGCTCTTACGAACTTAAAGCTCTTGTTGTGCATCGCCGAATTTCTTCCCGAGCCATCTGCTCCTCTCCAACAGCTGCACGAAAGGAACGGGGACATCAACAACGCTGGGCGCCGACATCAAGTCAGGACGGTGAAGAACGAGCCACGCCATCAGATACGCATAAGGAAGCTCGACCTTCGGACAAGTAAGCTCGGTCGATGGTTTAGAACCCACCCGTGTAAAACCACTGACCAGATACCTAAGCCCGCAATGGATGCCGGCAACCATCGCTGGGAGCAGTGAAAGCTCCCTCCCATAAGCTAGCTGAACTGCGGGGAAGAGCACCTCGAGAGGTAAGGCGTCTAAAGACCGGTACGGAACAACACACTTCTTCAACCAGAGGGCAATGTAGCCTGCTAGCAGAGTCCGGGGCTCGATGGACTTCTGTGCACGGCGGAGGAACGAACGAAACTTGGTTCCTGCAGGAAAAGCTCCCTCAGCACGGGCAATGGTGTAAGAATGAGCCTCAGCCTTCTCCATCAACTCATTAATGGCGGTAGGGGTCAGGACATCTAACTCACGAAGGGGCTCGCCGGAGTCACCCTCCAAATTAGGGAACAGATAGACAGCAAACTGTTTCAAGCTGATTTGCCTTTTCTTCTTCGCTGGAGGAGAAATCTTGATCAAGGAGGTATAATAATGACAAGTGATGTCCCAAAGAGTATCATGCATGTCGGGAGTATCCTTCTTCAACCACCCCAACTGCTGGTTCGAGGGAAAGTACTCCTGATATGGACAATCCCCCATTGGAAGACCAGAAACCTGATACATCTCATGTAAGGCCAACCCTAACTCTCCGCCGCTGGTCATGAACGTGTTACTGTCGGGCATGTATGTCTCCAACAACGCAAAGAAATGGTAGCAACTGACCTGGAGTCCATACATGGTGGCTCGTATAGGTGAATACAATCCACTGCTCTTCAAATCCTTCTCCCAGCGCCCCAAAACGTAACTGGTCATACGTGTCAACCATCCCTTGGGTAGTGAGAAAGCCCAACCATAGCATCTATAATCTGGTGGAGGTAATCTCCTCCCAAGATGAGCCAGACGGTTCTTCACGGTAGGAGCGGCTGCTGATACCTCGCCTGGGGGTGCAGTATTAAGACCCTGATACCTCGCCTAGGGGTGCAGTATTAAGACCCGTAATCCCTGGCCGAAGACCGCGGATGTAATGATACCCAGCAGAACCAGGAGTCTTATGATGAGAGGTATATCCACACTGAACTCGCTCAGCATCTTCGGTAAGGTGCCAAGACATCTGTCGCTCCACGGCCTGTCCCTGCAAATGAGTGAAAGAATACTGACGAGGAATGGAGGGAATATATAGGAGAGCTCCTTCGTCGAGAGTCAACCAGTGCTCCTCGATAAGAGTCAACGTAGCAGGATCCTCAGTGGGATCTCCGAACAGAAAACCGAGCTTCTTTAAAGCCTGAGTTGAAGTAGAATCCGCAGTAAAGGAAGCATCCGTAATAAGCTGGCGTAAGCAATGACGCCCTCCATCCCGTATCAAACGACAGGATTCGTCGGAGCGATCTCTGTCGAACTGAGGGAGTGGACCAATGGCCTGCCTGATGGAAGCCGAAGTGTTGGCGTGAGGAGGAAGACTACCCGAGGGGAATTCCACTGCAATAACGCACAAGGGTGGAGTCAGAAAATTCATAAGAAGAATGATAGACTCATTCACGGAATAATTGGAGAGACGATTTTGAGCGTCCTACACCGGAAGAACGGTATGCATCATCACGTGAATAACGTGGTGACATACACCGACCTATAAGGCGTAGGACGACACAAAATCGCCCCAAATACCAGAAGACTTGAATTGGCTAAGCAAAACAAGTCCGAAACCTCAACCCCCGCGAAGGAGGGTATCAGCTCTGTTAGTTGGACCCGCGAAGGGATCAATCAGGGATATAGAAATAAAGATTCTCACCCCCGAAAAAGGAAACCGCTGGAGGGGAGGATGCTGTAAGAACTTCCTCCTCGCTAGGCTGCGAACGGGAGCGACTCCTAGAAGGTCGGGGTCGACGTGGAGGCATTGAAAATCTGCAATGAAAAGCAGTAAGTCAGGCACAATATGAATACACGAAATTTAAAAGGAAAATTAAGAACTTGAACTAAAGTCCTATGAATAAATAGGATTTTATAGTTGAAGTCTAATTAAACCTACAAATTTCGTGCATGCGAAACAATGATTGTCATTTTCGCGGTAAATTTTGGTGAAATACCCAAAACACCCCTCGTGTTCAAGGCTAAATTCAGGTCAAGGACACGCTTGAGTTGGGTCATGGTCATCATATCTGATCATATAGCACCCCCAATACCTCACAATTTTGGTTAATTTTGCAAATAAACCCTTTTTGTAAAATTTAGCCAATCTTGCAAATAGACCCCTCCACAAATTTCGGTTTAGTTTCCGCATACCTTTCTCAAAACTTTGGTCATAGGTTTGTGATCTAAACTTTTGGAATTTTAGTCCTGAAATTTCAGCCCTTTTGCAAATAAACCACCTATACTTTGTGGGATTGCTCTTTTGCAAATAAACCCCTCAAACAACATTGGATCTTTCGCATACCAACACCTCTCAATTTTCGGCCAAAGGGGGCTAAAATTTCAGTCCTAAATTTCAGTCCACTTTGCATAAAAACCCCTCAAATTTCAGTCCACTTTTGCATAAAAGCCCCCAAATTTCGGCCATATGGCAAGTTTTGCATAAAACCCCCAAATTTTGGGTTCATACTCACAACCCATCATCAAAAGCCTATCTTTTTCATGAAATCCAACCCATGAGGACAAAAAGACATGATCTTGGCATGAAGCTATAATCTTTTCAAAAAGGAGGAGAAAGTTTTGAGAGGGAACTTACCAAATCAAGAAGCTTTTCCTAGAGCTTGAAGGTGATGAAACCCTAGCTTTGAGAGGAAGAAATTTTTCGGCCAAGAAGAACACCAAAATCCGAAATTTTGTATGGGTTTGGAGAAGGAAACAATGGTGGAGGGATGAAAGGAGGAAGAAAGAGTTTGAGAGGGAAAGGGAATCTCTTTTGAAAATATGGAAAGAAGGGGGAAAACAAAAGAGAAAATAAAATTAAAACAAGAAAGAAAGCAAAAGAGGAAACAACAAAAAAAAAGGGGGGGGGGTCTCGGTTTTGGCCAAGACACCCCAAGGGTGTCTCGGCAAAGCCGAGACACCCCAAGAGTGTCTCGGCCAAGTTGAGACACCCTTGGGTGTCTCAACCCAATTCGAGCCCCCCGAACCTTTTTTTCGAGTCCGAATTTACCTATTTTCGTCAGTTATTGGATATTTCGACGAAATCCACACTAATCAATACCGAGCAATTCAAAACCCTAGGGTCAGCGCCGGTCAACGCCAGTCAACGCCAGTCAACGCGTTGCGACCAAAAAGTCAACGTTCGACGTTCGAAACCCTAGGGTCAACGTCAGTCAACGCGTTGCGACCAAAAAGTCAACGTTCGACGTTCGAAACCCTAGGGTCAACGTCGGTCAACGCATAACCCTAGGTCAACGACAGTCAACGCGTTGCGACCAAAAAGTCAACGTTCGACGTTCGAAACCCTAGGGTTAACGCCGGTCAACGTGTAACCCTAGGTCAACGCTAGTCAACGCGTTGCGACCAAAAACTCAATGTTCGACGTTCGAAACCCTAGGGTTAACGTCGGTCAACGCGTAACCCTAGGTCAACGCCAGTCAACGCGTTGCGGCCAAAAAGTCAACATTCGACGTTCGAAACCCTAGGGCTAACGCCGGTCAATGCGTAACCCTAGGTCAACGCCAGTCAACGCGTTGCGACCAAAAAGTCAATGTTCGACGTTCGAAACCCTAGGGTCAACGCCGGTCAACGCATAACCCTTGGTCAACGCCAGTCAACGCGTTGCGACCAAAAAGTCAACGTTTGACGTTCGAAATGCTAGGGTTAACGCCGGTCAACACGTAACCCTAGGTCAACGCCAGTCAACGCGTTGCGACCAAAAAGTTAACGTTCGACGTTCGAAACCCTAGGGTCAACGCTGGTCAACGCGTAACCCTAGGTCAACGCCAGTCAACGCGTTGTGACCAAAAGTCAACATACGATAATCTAAAACCTTAAGTCAGTACAATATGACAGAGATAGTCAATTCAAAGTCAACTCAATGACACGACCCAAACTCAACTCACTAGTGATAGACTCGAGATTCCGACAGCGGCCAGGCGATAAACGCAGCGCCAGAAGAACTTCAGTTATTCATCAAAGCATCGAATAGACCGAAAATCGAAGGACCCAAGAGTTGAAGCTAACTACAGGTCCTTTACGCCGACTGAAGGCTGGATCAATCACATCCAAAGTATTCCAGCCTCTTCTATAAAAGAAACGAGTCTGGAACGCTTTGGAGGGGGTATCTGTAGGCATCGAAAATTGCCTATGGGTCTCCATGAACAGCTCAGTGTTAAAGAAAGACAATGAACATCACTATCTGGTTCACAGGAGTTCAACTGATGTCGGTGAACGCTTGAAGTGAACTGACGAACTACGTGAGCTGATAGGATTTCGGAATAACGAAGACACAGGCTAATCGAGAACCTCGCGATGTTTACAAAAGGAACAACGCCCTTCGTGTCTCGTTCATTCTACAGATAATCTAACCATTGGAACTGATAGAATTCTTCGTCAGACTTCCAACGCATTTGGAATCACTCAGATCCGAGTTCAGACAAAGAAATTACAGCGAAAACAGTCAAACGGGCATTGAAAACGTCTCAAAGCTGAACTGAGGCACCTACGGTGTCTCGGCCAAGCCGAGACGCCCCAAGGGTGTCTCGGCCAAGCCGAGACACCCTTGGGGTGTCTCGGCCAAGCCAAGACACCCCTAGGGTGTCTCAGCACGGATTTGGGCCCTTTAAGTGGTTTTAACCGCTCCGCAACCCCTCATGCCTATAAATACAAGCCTTAGGCCTCATTTTTTCAGATCTGGAATTTTGCTGGATCAGATCTGATTGCCAGGTAGTCCACGGATATCGACGTCCCCGTCACAGGCTAAAGACCCACGCAAGCAAGAGACGACGAACGGATCTTGTGTTTATTTTCAAGAAAGTTGTAATCTTTATTTCTTTGTTGTTTGAATTCATTTGTAACGTTTAAAGTTTTAATGAAATCAATGATGAAGGCAACTTTCGACGAAAACATATATGTCTATCATTTTCATTTGTTCCCTTGTGTGGTAATCGAGATTTTTATGGTTACCTATTAGGCCTTAGGCTCACCCCTATTGTTTCTGAATCCACTCATAGGTCATACTACTGGTAAGGATAAGGGGATTGCAGACCCTGAAGTTGAAGATTAGCTCTGAAGAAAACTCTTAGTAGGAGTTAATTTATGTTCACTCTAGTAGTATTTTTAACTTATAAAACATGTACTAATATTGTAGCCACTGCTATTATTGTAATATTTTGTAGTTCCCTTTAGTGTTCTTCTATTTTGGTATTCTATGGACTCTGCTATCAACCTCGTGATCCTGAGTATTGCATATACAACTCCACTGCCTTATTTTTCACCCTTCAGTATATCTATATTGTGATGTGCATAAAGATTTAGCAGGTTGACCATTCTTATTACAGATAGGTCATGTCCAAATTTTTATGTACTTCCCTGAGGGGCGTTATAAAGGTGGTGAAGAGAACCCTAATCCCTTTCCCAGTTTTCCTTCCTGTCGCCTCGAAAATATACTCGCGCGATTATTTTATTCGACGAGTGGACATTTCCTAGTGATTTCAGCCTGCAACCCGCTAAA